CATTAATTACTATACCTTTACGCCAAGTGGAATATTTGGAATATGGTCGTAGTTGTATGACAAGGTATAGGTTTCTATGCGAAAACAAACAAAGAACCAAATGAGTAACATAAGATTTCTTGGAAACTCACTTTGTCAGGACATAGTTAATAGACGGAAATGGGTGAGAAGCCAGGTAAACATCAAAGAAGCAAGCAAGCAGGCTATGTTATATCTATTTTATGCTCCTAAGCTATGCATGAATTACATAATCACAATGCTTCTATTGGATAGTTGTGTGAGCACACATGACCACCTTTTGTATTTTGCAGCATTGTGCAGAGTCAAACCCAAAATAGCCACCAAAAACATAGAACGAAGAACTTTCCCTCTATTAACTATGGTCGAGTAAAATCCTACAACTAAAGTACCTTAGAGTTCACGGTTATAAACCCAGTCACCTCTCGATAAGTTGTTGAAACTGGCAGAATCTTCGGGCCGTCCTCAAGTGACTGGAGTGGGAGCGCTCTTATGAAGATTATAAGGCCATTAATGATGGGTAGAGAACGCGATGTAAAGTACGAGAATAGAACTATGTTTGCAGGTGCACGTGTGGGTCAAATTCAGTTTTTCTCGTGAAAGGGAACAAGTCCGGCAATCGAACATTTTTACTTGCTACCATACTACAAAGAGACCATGATCATCATCGTCTTCTGATGATACTAAGCGTCGCCAACCAACATGGATTTCGTTCACTACTGTTTGTTGACATTCAAATTTCTAAAAAAGGTAGAATGTCGAAAATCCCTTACGTACATCTTTGTCAATATAATATTTATAATAACTGCAGAAATTTCCGTGCGCTCATTGGCTAATTTTCAATGACATTACGCGGACAGACACATGGCTTTGTAATTTATGTTGACGCAAAGAGCGGGAGCGGACAATTTGAAAATTTGTTACTGTAAAAAAACAAATTGGCCTCAGTTTTTCATACGTCTGTCCTGTTATTGGCAATGAATTTCGTCATAACATTGCCAAAGTAGTCTGCGGATCCACTCGGCTATCGCTTCGAGGATCCACAAATACTTTAACAATGTTATAATAAAATTCATGATCAATAACAGGACAGATTCATGAAAAAATGATGTCAATTTGTTACATAGCACTTCGTCTCCCTCATTCTCCCTCCACAAGAAAGATTTTGACGCTACATACCTCCTGCTGCTAAATTACAAATTTGCGGCATTTTACTGCATTTAATGTCCCGAGGTCCTCTGGATACAATGTGTCCGTTGTTTTTTATTACGGACTGCAGTGTTGATGAAAAGATGTCCACACCTATTAGCACAGAAAAATGCCAAAAGTTTAGCAATGATGTAAAACTATTACTTGACGTGCTTACCTATACTAACTTGGCATATATAGTGATGTTTAATTTCCGCGCAATATTTACGAGTGGCTTCAAAAGTTCATTATTACCTGTACTTACAGCTCCGTACTTAGTGACGAGGTTTGCTTAGAGTTGACTTTGCACTGACACAAACCTTGCTACTTTCCAAATGTTATCCTGATCTCTATCGACATAAGCTAAACCCTCGATGAACCCAGTTCTTGCTTTCAAGAAGAGGTTCGGCTACATTTCACCGAACTTAAAAATGGTGATTCTTATGTAAACGGACTGATAGTATCAGTCCGTTTACATAAGACAAGCGAGGAAATGTTTCAGAGCTCAGAGTCAAAGATTCCGTTGGTGTCGTGCGATATATATAAAAATATATATATTTAAAGAAAACAGTATCGATCATATCGATTAATCAATGATAATTCTGGGTAATAAAGCAAGGATTCTTTCCGGAATTGGAAATTTCGTTTTATGACATTCCCAAGAACCATGTCAGACTTACCAGGTGTGAAAGAGACCGTGATATCTACTGGTTGACCGGGCTTCAGCTTGGGCCATGGCGTAATTTTGTACTTGAGGGTTTTGTCTGGCGGTCCTGTAAAAGTATAAGAAGATTATCCTGTTAACTACATAGGGAGTAAATTAGCGGGTACGTGTTAAACAACTACGAATGACTACAAAAAGATATTGAGTTGTTCACGGCTCAGCACATGTGCTAGCTACAACTTCATTGTTTGTAAAACAATCAGAAACGTAAAGATGACTTGCGGGGAAATTTGCCTTTATTTTGTGAATTTTGCGGTCAGTCACGAACAAATAACGTACAGGAGAGATTCCTCATTAGCAGCCCTTTCGTATGTTCCAACCCTATACATATAGTACATTTTCGTTTTGATATCTACCTCATGCGTTTCAGTAATCACAGACTGTACTTTTGTAAGAGCAGAAGTAATAGCCATCGGAGTAGCCATACGGCTACACTTAAGGTAGAAGAATGACGAATGCCCAATTTCATGGACGATGTACAAATTGATTATCTGGCCCGACGGTTTAATTCTGGTCCAGCCGGTCGTACAAGTTACCTACTTGTATCTGATTGTCTTCCAAGCAATGGATCTGGGTGAGATACATCACAGCTTGCACATGCGCCGAATCGTAAAATTATCCCTTTCAGTGATTTTGGGGCAAAAATGAATTTTTTCCTAGGGTTGATCATTATTCGGACTTCAG